CAAGAACAATGGTTAGCCGTAACACAGTTGGATCTCATTCTGTATGCAATTTCTTCATTCAAAATAACGACGCCCAGCTATGAATGTGTAAATGGTGTAATATATGAAGGACCACAGCTAACACATCTTGCTTAGTACCACGTACACACAAATAATATTGGAAAATATTAAAGAGCGTCGGCAGCAACAAGTACTTCGGCCGCAGCCTCCTTAAAACAAGAGCGGCAAATGTTGATTGTACGTTGTAATAAACATTAAATTTTAATGACGGGGTCCCCTTTATTGTTCAGTTTTATGTTTGGACCGTGGTTAATGGTTTCAGTCTTGTGTCACCATATTTTTTACCTAGGCATATTAGTATTTTGTTTTTGGTTCATTTCGATTTTCTAAGGCGTTTAAATACGGACTTAAAACACTGAGGTCAAGACTTCTCTTACCATAAAGAATGAATTACACCAGGAACAGAGAAGAAAGGGACTCACGTACTTTTCTTGTTTTGACAGCTTAATTGCCTGTTTGACAATAGCTAAAAGAAAAAATAACATGAATATAACAATGATGTGACAATTTACCTTAACAGGTGTTTTATTGGTGGGAAATAAACCACTTGTGGATTTCACATTTAATACAATCGGGAACAATGGAATATGGGAAAGTGGGAATTCCATTTTTTTTCTTCTGAAAAAGTTCCTCGGGTTTCTGTGAGCGAGCCTCGGAAATCCTTTAAATATTTTGTGTCTTTGCAAACATTCGATAGATTGCCCAGAATATAACGTTTTTAAAGACTTTCGGGGGTTCTGTGTTAAGAAGGAAACAGAAATCAATGACATAGAGGAACCATGTATCTCAGCTGAGTTGCTTGGAACAGGTTATTCAGTCAATGAGTATTAAATGACGGAACCCTTGGAAGAAATAGAATGGTAAGTGATGAAAATGACGTGAACAGCACAAATCTCGTATGCTCCGTGTCCTCCTTCATATCCCATCGCCCGGCAGATAGCCGTAAGAAGTATATAAGGTCTTCAAGCCCGCCGGGGAAGGGAGGGAATACTTTTTTCGTAATGAGGATTGGTAAACAACTGGTACGGACCACAGTTTCCTCTTCACTGCTTTCCTTTGTCAAACCAAGGTAGAGACATGAGTTCGCTAAAAACAGTATTGGCTACAAATCGGCGCGCGCAAGTCACCTTGAACCCTGTAAAGTAGCAATGACGGCCTAGGAGTTGTTTCTATGGTGACAAATCTGCAGGTGATGTCTTAGGTGTACAAACTAGATGAAAGAAAGAAAGTTTGATAGTGGCAAACTTTAGTCCGCAGGCTTCATCAACTCATTTTAGCATGGCATATGGGTTGTTCTTTCCACTAAAATTCAAAGACACGTTGCTTCGCCTCGTAATTGAATAAGAGAAGCCGATCTGAATTGAATGTGGCGTCCATTGGGGAATCTCTCTACTGGTCATCGTAAAAGCGACAATGAAGCACATTGATGAGTCTTGTCCGCAATATGGTTTCTGAAACAATTTGAAACGAATACAGTTAAAATGATTTAAGACAGCTGAAAGGAAAACTGTATAGACCGAAACATTGTTGTATGTTGTAATTACTCTTGCAGCCCGTTTTTACCTTACCATCCCGTGTTTATACCGGCATTGTAGGTAATTTATGAATTACACAAACATCTTCAATGTTCAGTTTGCAGTTTTAGTCTATGACGACTTCCTAACATGATGGAAAAACTGTGGCCTTCTTTACGGTACCGTGTCTTTAAGACTTGTAAAATGTCCCGAAATCTGGCAGTTTGACCTGATATTTGTTGCGCCTTCACCAAATATTAGGAGATAATTTTAGACCCTATACAAAATGTTACTATTAATTTCTCCCCCCTGTCTGACGGCGTCATGTTAGTTTTAAGATAGGTTACCCAGTTTCACTTTTCCATTGATGCTTCACTTTATCATTCTCTTGCCAATCTAGGCACTTGCGTGAAATATCATTATCAGGCTGTCTTCATTTCCATGCAAATAAATTTCCAAAGTCTTGTTTCAATTGTCAATTGGCCACCTGTTTTGCGGTTCACAGTCCAGCGAGGTAGTTTCGTCAAAAGCTTTTTAGGCAAAAAATATAACTTCCTTTACCGCGGAGCTGTGATCTTGAATAGAAAATATGCTGGTGATAATTTTCTTCTCGGTTTTTGCCTTAAACAACCAAGGTAGGTGTAGTTTTAATTGTAAACGAACACGTCAGCGAAGAATAAACTGAATGGACGATCATCAACATTGCTCAGTTATTTCGCAATTTTAGTGATGATAATCAGTCAGGTCTGGTTGAAATTAAATTTGGTTCATCTTAGAAATAATATGCGACAGAAACAGTTTAATTTTACAAAGCGCTCCCACGATCACAGTGGGAAAGATTCCATAGTCTATACAGTTAAATTAGTTTGAAATAAGGCCGGTTTCCATTGCTATTTGGAAAAAGCAGCAGATGAATAGGATTTGAAAAGAGTTAAGCAGATTGTTTGTTAAACACCTTTTTCTGCCCTGGATATTGCTTTGCATTTTTTGCGGCTCCGTGAGCGTGCTAACTGATGTCCATTGTGAGACATAAGTAAAAGCTAGAGAAACTGGCTGGAAACAAAGTCCTCTTCGCATCTATTGTTAATTGACTGAGGGAGAGTGTGGCTTTAATATCAAGTAAGCTATATCTAAGAAAATATCAGTACTATGAAAATACTGAATTTTTTTTTTTTTTATAATCAATTGTGCGAGCCCAGCAAAAGTCGTTCATGATTACCGATAACCTTCATATTTTGACTTTATGGCGATATCATGATAAAATAAGTTATGTATTATATCACTTTTAATAATTGAACGGGAACTGACTTGGATCAAATTTCAAGTGACAGGAGAAATGTGAAAAACGCCACAAGTAAGATTAGGTGATATATATATTTTTTGCCACTAGATTGAACATAACCCCTGTAGTATTATTTTGCGTAGGGTTATATTTAGGCTCCTAAGCCTGACAGTGTTACGATTCTTGCAGTGTGTTATACCAGCGCCGTGGAAGAGAAACTACTGCGTAATATTCTAAAAGACTACAACAGAAAAGCTCGCCCTGTACTCAAGGAATCAGATGTGGTTCATATTTCCATGGACATCGCATTGCCGCAGTTGATGAAAATAGTGAGTAACCAAATTGCCTATTCTGCCTCTTACGTTCTGTTGCTTACATTCTTTTGTATTTGTATTTATTTTGTTATCTCTGTGGGTTATGGTAATAAACATATCCATAGAGGTCCCCCCGGAGAGTCTCTGAAGGCAAGAGAACGTGGTGTTCTAAAAATTTTTGGTAAGGCACTATGATCTACATAGTCGCTTGGTTCCAGGGCCGCCTTTAAAAGGGCGATCACTGCGCCCAACAACCAGCCTGTTTAAACACCGCCAAACTACGCAGGCTATTTTGAGGACGGTTGGATTTGATTATCCCAAGAGAGGATGTCATCCATATTTTTATATATTATTTCTGTCTTCAAACCCTCGGCGGCATTTCTGATATTTCGCTGGACAAGCGTTGATCATTGCGTGATTCACGGCGTGATCCATTGCGTGATTCCTACATCTCCCGGTTACTGATGGGAAACACGTGGTGAAAACTTTGGAGCGGGAATGGTCTGACACACTGGCAAACGGGGCCCAGAAAATTTATCAGCAAATATGGAGATGTGTGCAAAGCAACTGTTTGATAAGGAGTTTAAAGAAGAATTGATCCGTAACCTGAACGTGCTGAGGAAGTCAAGCATTCTCTGTGATATAACTATAAGAGCGGAAGGCAAAGACTTCGCGGCTCATCGATGTGTTTTGACCGCCGCTAGCCCTTACTTCCGAGCTCTGTTTACTTCGACCTTTAAAGAAAACGAAAATAATTTTGTGGAGCTCAAACAGGTTAAATGTGCAGCTCTAAGCGAAGCTCTTCAATTTATGTACACTGGGACGGCGAAAGCCGATTGTTCTAACGCTCAAGATTTGGTAATGGCGGCGGACTACTTGATCTTACCAAGTTTAAAATTGAAAGCTTCCGAATTCCTGCAGGAAACCATTAGTGCTTCAAATTGTCTTGCTCTGGAATCATTTGCTGTACAGTTTAACTGTGAGTCGTTAAAGAAAGCTGCAGTAACCTACAAAGTAAAAAATTTTGTCGCCGTCGTGAAATCGGATGATTTCAAGTCTCTGGACTTTGACAAGGTTAAGGACCTAATTTCTCGAGACGACATAATCGTATCTAAAGAGGAAGAGGTTTATGACGCAGTTATTATGTGGGTGAAAAACGACCTTTCATCAAGAGAATGTTGCTTCCCCGACCTGCTAAAATGCGTGAGAATTTTCTCGATGTCGAAGTACAGTCTTCGAGAGATTCTTTGTAAAGAAAAGCTCGTCCTAAATAGCCTGCCTTGTACGACTATTCTCTTCAAAGCCCTGGATGCATTTCTTTTCCCTGATAGTTACCAAGTTTTGATGCAAAGACCTCGCCTATGCCTTAAACGGAAGGAGCTAGTAGTTGTCCTCACAGGTGGCCACAATATTGACAATCTCAGACAAGAGCCAACCGATGAGACATTTGGATTTGTTCTTTCCTCCAAGAAGTGGTTGAACCTGCCCATGATGCCCTGGCCTCGTACACGGCACGCTGCTGCAGTGTGTGGTGGTCAGCTGTTTGTGGTGGGTGGCAACTCAGATGCCCCATCTGCCCCTTTGTGTTACTTCAACCCTGGACAAAACAAGTGGTTTGCCAGTGATAAGGCTCTGAAGGCAATTCTGCACAGTTCTTTGGTTACCCACAATGAGGAACTTTACATGATTGGTGGTGAGATTGGAAATGTGCCTAGAGTTAAATGTACAAAGTATAATTACAAAGATAACAAATGGAAAGAGGTGTCACCAATGATACATCCTCGCACTGCTCATTGTGCAGTTGTCCTGGATGAGCTCATCTATGTCATGGCAGGTTGTGACGATAATGCCTGTCTTAAGAGTGTGGAGTGCTACACTCCTTCAAGTGATGAATGGAGCCAGATTGCAGATATGAACAATGCAAGAAAATTTGCGGCTGCTGTTGCGGCCACTACTAGTGAGAAAATAATAGTCGTTGGAGGGTACGGTGACATAGATTGTGCTGCTGTTGTAGCAAATAGTGAAATTTTTGACAAGAGCTTGAATCAGTGGAGTTTGGTTTCTGCTCCTATTGTGCCACGTGCAGCATGTGGCATTGTCAGTGTTGAAGATTATGTCTATGTGTTTGGGGGAGAAAGGGAATCACCATATGATGATCTGGATAGTGTGGAGTGTTATGCTATCCAAGAGGATGCGTGGAGCCAAGTTGACTCCATGCCAAAAAGGCTTATCTGTCTTCAAGCTTCATTGTTGCAGCTACCAGTGGAATATACGTAAACCATTTTAAATGATATAATTTATTATCCAAGCATTTCTGTTATATATATTTATGTGCACAATACCAGTAATACTGATGATGTAGGAAATTTTCACGGAAGAGACTGTTAAGTTAGATACTGTAACCAGCCTTTGCGGCAAAATCACAAGAATTGAATTAATTGTCCTGTACTGTTGTGTATTTACCAGGATATTTCATGTAATTCATTGCATACTATCTGATTTACACTTTGTTAATGTATCTCAAGGGTTATTGAACCTGATTAATATCGCACCCAATTATATTCTTTATGATGTTCAATAAAAATATTTGACTTATACTTTACTGCTTTATACCTAATCATGGTGTATTGATAATTTCTGATTTACGCTGTGCCAATTTTTTTCCCCTAAGATTTAACAAATTTGATTTTAATGTTTATCACATTAGGAAGCAATGTATGAATAATAATTATTCCTAGGTTGTAATCAACTGCTGTAGTATTATTTTACCAATAATCAATAATCAACGAGCCTTACGTAGTTATTATAGAGTTATTGAGGAACATTAAATTTGTTCAATTTAGTTTAGCCATGACTAAAGTAAAGTGATATTGAAGTGAATAAATAAAAACATTAAAAAACAACAAGAACACCACATAGAGACCTTGAACTTGAAAAAAACAAACAAACAATATGCGGTGAAAATTAATTCAAATGTCATTCATGATCATTCTTATTCACTCAATTGTAACTGCTTTGTGGACAATAATGAGAGATTGATTGTCAAAGCTGTTTTTACTTGTTTGTTTGGTTATTTATACTTATGTTTTCCATCTGGCTTGCTTATAGTTTTATCAAAAATAAAAAATAACATATAATTTGAACACTTGAGGACAGCTATAAAGAATGCACCAAATTGCCTATCATGCACACAAAGCTATTGGACAATTCATTAAACTTTTTTTGGTTTAGGGACATTCTCATTGTTAACTTAATAATTAGTCAAATGTAGGTATTCAATAACACAACGAACTTTGATCTCAAATTAAGCAGCCTCAACATCGTAGAAATGAAAAACTTGAGGGAAAAAATTGTCTAGTTTAAAGGGTCATCGACTGCCATGCTTTTCATAAAAATCATCATCATCATTATTATTTTTATTATTTTTTTCCCTGTGGTTTTACAAAGTCTATACACTTGCGTTGTCATCATAGATAGGATGTCACTGAGGAGAATGTACAGGGAGTCATTAACACCCGCAATTTATCATATCTTTCTCGTCCCTCCAAAAGAACGTAGGCGGGTTAATTATAGTTCACAGAAGGTTTTACACTGATCTTCTTTATTCCAGGATGAAAAAGAAGAAGTCATAACCACAAACGTATGGGTGAGGCAGGTACAATAAAAGCAATCGTCTGTTCTTTTGTCGTTTGTTTGTTGTTAACTTGAACTTGACTTTGGTATGCACCGTATCAGTGACACTAGGTAAGGTCAGACATCTTTTGATGTATCCACTCACAGGTCAAGAGAGACGATGACGGTGATGTAGTAAATTACCAATCACTATCTCTCCACAGCTCGAGCCCGCCCTCCTTCATCATTTCCACACTGCCTGGGTCAGACTTAGGATCTAATGATCTCCGAGTCGAGGAGAACCAATTAGAGTCTACTTTGCTGCGAGCTGCCATGCATGCCATTCAGGCTATCCCAGCATGCTACTCAGGCTATCCAGAGACACTGGAGAAACGCCACTAGTCTGGTCCCAGGGCTCTTTCTGGTCACTTCTCTAAGTTTGTAAGATTAGTAAAACCACCTATTCAGGGTACGTAGTTTCTTAGTTATCGCTTTAATTTATTTCATCTTTTCAGTATTGGAATGATCCCAGGTTTTCTTGGAATAAAACTGAGTATGAAATCTCACAGATCATCATCAACCCAGAGAAAGCTTGGTTACCAGACGTTGTTTTACTGAATAGGTGAGACTTTCTCATTACCTCGCTAGGCTCGTTACGCAGAACATGGCTCATAAATGGTCACAACTACTAATAGAAATTTGTCTCTTTGAAATATTGTACAAAAATTGTACCTCCCATCTCAGCTGCCTGCCTTGCTTAGTCAGAGTGATTCCAGGATAGCTGTACGATAGCCGCGCGTAAACTGGAGCTGAGACCTGTTGATTTTTGCTGACAAAAACACTAACAGATCACTCGCCCGGTGACAAAGCACATGGTTACAGGCAAAAAGTTGTTGCTAAGTAACTAACATGCCGTGTGGGGCTGGGTCGACTTAGGGAATGTTCGCGCTTTATTTTGCAATTGATAGATGAATTAGAATCATAAAATGCTTAAATCCAATCGAATGTTTTTTTTTATTTCTAGTGCTGAAGCAATGACAGACGGGCGCAGCACGGCAACACGCCTGGTTGTGAAGCATGATGGGAATGTATCATGGTTGAACCCAGTGATTTTCACAAGTTCGTGTGAAATCGACATTACGTTCTTCCCACTGGACGATCAAACTTGTCAGCTCAATTTTGGTTCGTGGTCTTACAGCAGTCAATTTCTGGATGTCCATCCACGAGGAGACAGTGCAGATTTAAGCTCGTAAGTTTCTATCTACGTAGATCAGTATGTTATCTTTTAATATGTTCAATCCTATCTTTAACTCTCCTTAATGACTTTTAATCAGTTTTACTAATATTAGTTCTCAGAGTATGGTGCTGCATCAAGACGGCAAATTCGTTAGGCTTTATTCTCGCCGTGTCTATTTCAGAGGGTGTTAAGCTGGTGTCTTGAACCCTCAAATGTAGCTGTTAAAGAGAAAGTCTACCATAGGTAACTTTTTAAATAGGTTTTTTCACAGATAGAAGGAGCTGAACAGGGAAACTACGACCAATAAAACAAAATACTGTACATGTAAAATTCTCCTCAATGTTTCTCCATGCTTTTGAGGTCAATTCATCGAAGGTTACTCCAACTCTTCCAGTCAAAGTTGCTCTGTAAAATCAAGTTTGTGGCCAGTAACAGACGAAATGAGGCATTAGCCTAATTTTTTCTCTGTTTTTTTTTTCTTCATTAAACAGCCTAAATACCTGGGAAGAGAATTTAAAGTTTTGTGAGTTCACATTGCCTCAGTCATAATTTTTTTCTGGTTACGGTACTGAAAACACTTGTTTTGACTCGTGTCTCCTTTACTGTAGGAATATAGAGCCAAAATGCTGGAGTGGGAAGGAGGGCGGAAAGCACGAGATGACCGCATCCGAGGGCTGGAGAGTCAAAAGAAAGCATTGATCGAGAAGAGTGATATGATGCAGGTATTAATATAACACTGTAATCATGTTTGAGACATCAGACTGCATCTTAACATAAATTATAACCTTAACATGCTACTACTAAATAAAATGTATTGTAACAATTTTTCATTCCTTAGCAACAGTTGCTAGGATACCAAGCGCAGCTCAACAAGAGGAGGCAGATGATGGAAGACCTTGAACGGGATCACCAGCAAGAGATGGCTGCTTTACAATCTCAGGTACGTTAAGGCGCTCTCCAGAAGGCTAGCACATTCAACCTTGCCTAAGGCCTGTTTCTTGAAGGTCCCGAATTTAAATTTTACCCCTGGAAAGCCATATCAAAATCTCACACCCTACAGTATGTTTACAGAGCTATTTATTCACATGTCCTTAATATGAACAGAGGGTCCCTTCATACAAGAAATTTCAGGCATATACACCTCTCTGATTTTATGTACAGATAAAGTAAAAAATGGTTTTGCTGGCCTGGAAAGTTTCCGGGGCTTTTGAGAAG